ATTCCTCACCAACCATATTTTGTATACCTCAGTAACTTGGCTTTAGGCTGCAATTTCTAGTTTCTTTAGGTACAACATCAGTACCAAAAGCCATCTTTCCTCTTTTTCTTCTTTATTTATTCCTATTCATAAATTGTTTCATCCTTAGAAATGCCAGCACTTAATTTTCCATTGAGTTGGATTAATGGACCATGCACTTGTACACTACTAAGATACCATTTTTCAGAGCTGATGACTGGGAAACCAGCTGTTACCTTGTAGCACTGAGTATGGGGCTTGCCCAGTTTGAGCACAGTTTTGCATCATAAGCAATTTTGAGCTGAGAAGAAGAAAGGTCTGAAAATAAAATGGGCATTTAGGTAAATGTTAATGCTTGCGTGCTCGCTTGCTCGCTTGCTCACTCTCTCTCTCTCTCTCTCAGTGTGTGTGTCCGCACACACACACACACATACAAGCAACCCTTTTGAAGAAATTTCACTAACCCTTCCTTCATTTTCTTGTTGTAGATGGAATACATCTGAAGCTTAGCCATCATAAAAAAGAGAAACTATGAATTAGTCTGAGGTTACAGCCAAGTTCTACAATTTTGGACTCCAGCCCATCTAAAATCAATAACAGAGCAGTTATATATTTCCTAAACGGTTTTATGGAAAGCCTCCTTTAATAAGGACTTCTGAGGCTGCAATTCTATACTTTATACCAGGGAGCAAGCCTTTCCCAAGCCAATGAGACCTTTTTCTGGGCCGACATGTGTAACACTGCACTGTATATAACCTACGGGATATTTTGTGACTCATTTGTTTTGACATATTATTGTTTCCAGATTCCACATCTAGTGAAAATTGTAGCCCTCTCAATGTAATATTATCTGTTGGCAATAAAACAGCTTTCTAAGGGCAATTACAACATTTTCTCAACCAAACATATCTTTTAAAAACAAACAAACAAGCAAATTGAATGCAATTGTCAGGGACTCCTGGGCTGGGACTTAGCTTGGTATGTTACCATGGACCACATGGAGAAGGGCTGCAGCTCGACAGCAGAGCTCATGATCTGCATGCAAAAGGTGCCAGTTAGGAATTGTTCCTGTGTGAAAGCCTGGTGAGACCGTGCTAGTCATTGCAGGTAGAACTGGTCTATCTGGATAAACAGATCAAGGGTCTGCCGTGGTATATGACAGTCTTCAAAGCATTCAAGCCTCAGAATCTTAGGAATGGCTCATGCAGCATCATTCTCTGTAATCATCTGGCAGCATGAATATCTGGATTGGCTGGGCCCGATATGAAATCTGGCAAACTGGGAGAATAGGGTGGGAATTGGGTGTGAGGGGTAAAGTTTTGATGTCTTGCCTGTGGGTTTCCAGGAGGCATGCAGATGCCTGGGGGCAGGAATACAAAATCTTGAAGATTCAGGAACCACTTTCAGCCTAAATTCTGGGCTAACCCAACCTTGGTGGAGCTCTTGGGGCTGCATTCTAGTGGCCACAGCCAAAAGCAAAAGGGGTGGAGTAACAGGATGCAAACAAGCCAGCATAATATAGCTTGAAACCCTTACTGCTAGTAACTGGACCTTAGGAGACACATTTAAACCTTTTAGAATGCAAAAAAGACTGCTCAAAGGACAGGAATCAAAGGCTAAAGAGGGTGGGGCCGAGGGGAAGGGCCCATGGGGAACCCCGAAAGGGTACGGCCAGACTGGGATCCTAAGAAGGCCAGCTTGGGAACCTGGGCCTGCAGTTCTCTCAAGAACGGCTCTTTGGTCCATTTTCTTATACTTGCTCACTGAGAAAGTAAACGAGCTCAACATTTATATTCTTAGCCACTAGGAAAGTGGGTGGGTGTGGCTTGCTGCATTTAGCCCTCCAGATTTATCATAGCCATTGTCCTCAAACCCCCTAAATTAACAGTGCAGTTTCCAGATCAAGATCAGCAGTTGCCAATGGCCCCAGCCCGGCCCTGGCATATAAATCAAACAACTGCAAGACAGACACAAAGAAAATCAAGCCTAGGCATCATACTAGCCCTCTTTGCAATTTCTTGTAAATATGGTTGCATGCATCCTTGCTTTCCATTTGGTCTCTGCTCCTCTCCTTGGGCTATGTCAGCTCAAGGCTGAAGCTAGTTTCCTGGAGGAAGGCATTCTTCTCCCATTCACAATAGCATTTAAAGTGTGAGTAAGAACATGAGAAAGGCCATGCTAGATCAGAACAGCCCAGCATCGTTCACATGGCAGCAGACCAGCTGCCCAGAGGATCCCCCAGGCAGGATGAGTGCCACAGTTCCGCCTGCCCAAACTTTTCCGCAGCTGAGTGCAGATGCATGTTGCTTGTGATAATGCAGGTAGCAGCCATGGAAAGCTTTCTCTTCCATGAATTTGTCCAATCCCCTTTGAAAGGCTTTCCAGGTTGGTGGCTACCCCTAGCTCCTATGACAGCCAATTCCATAGTTTAACTATGCGCTGTGTGAAGAAGTACTTCCTTTATCTGTCCTAAATCTTCCACTGATCAACTTCATGGGGTGACCCTGGTTTCTGGTGTTCTGGAAGAAGGAAAAAATCTTCCCCTCTGACTTTCTACACACTGTACATAATTCAAAACACTTCTATCATGTCTCTCCTTACTCACCTTTTCCCTGCTAAGTTAAACAATCCTAGTGGTTGCACTCATTCCTCAAGGAGAATTGTTCCAAAGTGTTCATGATTTTAGTTGCTGTTGTGTTTTTTCCAACTCAATAATGACCTTTTTCAGGTGGGGCAACTAGAACCATACACAGTATTCCAAGTGTGATCACACCCAAGATTTGTATAAGGGGAATATGCCCCTGGCAGTTTTATTTTTTATTCCTTTCCTAATTTTTCCTAACACAGAGCTTGCCTTTTTTCGCAGCAGCTGTGCACTGGGTTAACATTTTCATCAAGCTGTCTGAATGCATAAGCACATGTATTCTTTGGTGCAGTCTAGCAGTAATTTAAATTTAGCAATGTGCCATTGTCCTCTGAGAAGCAAAGAAACACAGTTTTTCATCCTGGATCTAACATCTTGTCTAGGGCAGCGATTTCTGAAGTAAGGAACAGAATTTCTGCTCTGTACTGATGCAAGGCCAATGAGATAAGAAGGACTATCATATTAAATTATTGTTTGAAGAGTCACTGAATGTGCAGTCACTGAATGGGTTGCCTTAAATCAAATCTTGATGCTTAATGTTATACAACATGACATAATGGCTAGCATCTTTATATATGCACCATTAATTTCCCATTTCTGGGGAAGCAGATTTTGGCATATCAAACAGGCTGAAAGAGCATTACCGTGAAGGCATTTGAATTCCTGCAATAACATTTGCATTTCATAGACTTGTCATCATGCTAGCCTTACTTATTTATGTGTGTGCATTTGCCTGATATTAATCAAGTGCTCTTGACAGCAATGATATTGTTGACACAAACACCAAAAATAGCCAATCCTACACCACCAACGTATTACCAAAAGTGCTTTTTTTGTTTATTTCACTGGACCACTGCAAATAACTCATGCATTTATACATCTGAAAAACCATCAAAGTTTCAGTAGTTCCCATAAAGAAACAATCCATTAAGAACAGTTTTGAAACACTACAACTCCAAAATGTTAACCCACAGTTGCCACACTGAAAAAGACAAACCTTATGATTCATTTTAGATGTAGTTCCATTGTAATCTCTTCTAATCCCTAAACTAAAACTAAACACAGAATAGGAGAGATGAATCCCTTTATCTGATGCTGTAATGTACCATGGCAAAAGGCTGTCCTCTCTAAAGCCAAGAGAAGTTATGCCATCAACCTGAGTAGATTCTGGTCCACAGTGCACAGCAGTTAGGAGATGATTCAGGGATGTCCACTGCCATTAATGTCACTTTACCATAAAACCAAACCCTTGCGGAACATAAATAGTTCTTGCTACTACAACAGGCTGTTCGGCAGCACAGTAGCAAAGGAGCCATTTTTCTTTTGAAAAGATACAGGGAGGTATACTGAATATCCAGATACAAGAGACACCTTATTATTGGACACCTGATACAAAATTGTGCTCCTGGGAGCATGATTTTGCCTGAAATGGGCAGCAAATCCCCTTGAGCATCTTGTTTTAAAAGAAAATGGCTCCATTTTTACCACTTATGTCATGCTACCAAATTTCTTCTTGCTACCAAATACTATTGAAGCTGCACAAGCTTCAGTTAATGCTAGATCAACATCAATGTTGCTAGTACACAGACTGCATCCAATGCTTCCCCAGATGTTATACTTTTGCATATAAATTCAGTGCTCATGGAAGTTTGGATGTAGACCAGCCTATATAAATGGCAGCAACCGGGAGCTCTCCAAAATGAAAATACCAAACACCCTAATTGTTTCCAATTTAAGCCCATAAAACTTTAGTGTGTGCATCTTTCCCAAGAAAAAGTGCCTGATGCCGATACCACTGAACAAGAAGGAAAAACAAGCCCCCAAACAGATCCTGTGCTTAATGTTCCTAAGCCAAAAAGATAAGACACCAGTGTTCTGGAATCTGCAAGTAGAAAGCATTTCGTAATCCAGAGCCGCAATATGATTAATTACCTCTAGCGCTGTGTGAAAGCAAAAGAGTGCAGGTTTTCTGAGGGCACACAGGGCAAAGGAATCTTTTTATAAGCAATCACATCTACAGCCAATTGGATAGACTGACTTTAAAACCTCCTGGCTGAAAACTTCCCAGAAGTAACTCCCAGAGAGAGCAATAGGATTCCCTCCTGAGTAGCTCGACTGTGCGGAGGAAGACTACAGTTCTGCTAAATTTAAAACAAAACAAAATATCAGATGTTCCTAACCGGCATGCCGTTAAAGGCCAGACATATTCATTCGCTACATCCATTACGGTTTTGCCCCAGACTTGCCTACTGGCAACTGAAGGTGTGATGCACCACATGCATTATGGGGGCTGTAGGGAAGCAAAATCAAGGCGCACATACACAACTGCATTATTTACCTGTGGAAAGCTGAGTGGGGAAAGGATTCATTTCTTTGTCTACCATCTTCTGGTATAAAGCTCGCAGGCTGAATGGCTCCACCGTAAATGGCAGCGTCCCAGTCAGCATTGCGTACATGTTAACACCGCTGTAAAAGAAGAGCAGTTGGGAAAACAGCGAAGCCAAGCAAGCAGTTCCACTAGGAACAAGGTCAGGCATGCAAATAAGACGCAGGTTTCCTAGGCAATGGACACGGACGTAGGAAGCTACCCTTGGTCCATCTAGTCCACCACTGCCTATTCGGACTGGCAGTACCCTCCAAGATACCACAGGCAGGCGTTATCAAATGTTATATTGGGTTATATCAAATATATAGGGTTATATCGAATGTGATTCTGATTTAAGCCCTGTCATTTCACGTGGTCTATTCTAGTAGAGTTAATACTGCATGCAATCCATCACTTCCATTTTCTCTGCATCAACAGCAATGCTAGAATATAATAATTAGCTACTAAAATCTGCTATTTTGCACATGATCAACATTATTTTGTATCATCCATCTAGACAGAAAGCCATATATTGATTTGTATGACTATCACTCTATTGTGGGAAGGATGTTCTTCTACTGAAGAGTTCAAGTGTTTTTAAAAGTATGATAAGAAGCGCAAGTGGATGAGGGTGAGGGATTTGTATAATTTGTTATAGCTGATACCTTAAGAATGTATCAGATGCGTGCCATTGCCATACGGAATTGCTATTGCAGACCTCATATAGGGCTATCACACATGTTGCTTCTAGGCACCACACGGATGCAAAACTCCAGGTGAATTATAAAATATTATATTTGCTTGGCCCATGTTTAGACAGAAAAAGGGCCTGTAGCTCCCAGCATGCTCCATCCAGCATGTTGAGATTTTTTTTTCTGTCTAAACATGGATAGGATTGAGCCTTAGGGATTTTATTATACTTAGAGGTATAGAAATACTACAAATAAATAAATTTCCTCGCATCTCCAATCAGAACTTTGTGCTATTGCTTACATAAAAGTAAAATAAGAACCCCTTCCCCCTCAGCAAACATGTAACCTTTTCAATCATAGTACTTACATAGACCAAACGTCTATTTTGGGACCATACTTTTTCCTTGCAAGAAGCTCAGGTGCTGCGTAGGCTGGACTACCACACTGCGTGCTGAATGGATCAGAGTAGCCCAGGATACTTGTGCAGTTGCTCAAGCCAAAGTCTGTGAAAAAGAAAATAAACTGACCCTTAACACTGCTCATTTGATTTTTTCACTTAAAGGTTGCACTGTAAAAGTAGTGTTTAAATGATTCTTGCTTCTTAAAATGTGTAACACCACATGCAGATATGGAGTGGTTGAAAATCAGGAAATTTTAGCTAATACCTCTTGTAGCTAATAATTTCTCTATGTAAGGAATATGCCATCTAGCACCCACTATATGGTTTTGTACTACAACTCCCATCTACCCAGGCAACATGACTGGCAAAGGATTATGGAGTAGTAGTTTAAAACCACTTGATGGTACCAGGTTGCCTAGTCTGAGGAAACAGACACACACATACTATAAATGGTTGGTGGCTGTATTTAAGATACTGGGCTGGTATGATCCACTTTGAAATAGTGGGTGTTGGTAATCCATAGCATCTAACAGTGCATTGTTTTCCCAGGTTCAGTTTATATAACTGGCAAAGGCATCATCCTGATGGAAGCCTTGTTTAGGCAGGTTCCATCTAGCAAATTTCTCCTAGCAAATTTCTTTTAGTAAGAGTCTTAGAATTGCAAAGTTATCTGGACTACCTTGAACCAAAATCTACCTACTGTTAGAAATTTGCATTTCAAGTTTTTTTAAATGGTCAATTTCATGTCCAAAACCTTCAGTTTGTTAAAAGCTACGAGTTGACTTCAATTGGAGATGCATAACAGAATACAATCCTTTGCATTTGAGGCCATCAGAAGTGAATAGATTTGAGAAAAGATAATTTAATTTCTTCATCATTTCATTTCACTTTGTTCCAGGGTGACCTATGCATCTTCTCCCACCATCCACTACACAGGTGATTCTCTTTATATACTTTAAGCAAGTGCAAAACATTTTTGGAGTATTTTTAAGCATTCTAGTTTACTTATGTATATATTATTTTGTCTGTGTCTGCATATATATCAGATTTATGTACTGTTAAGTTATCAAATGCTCCATAACAGGATACTTTAACTTGCTATCCTGTACTGAGAAGGGGGTTGGACTCAGTGGCCTTTAAACTCTTTCCAACTCTACTAGTCCATGATTCTATGATACGGAAGTTATAAACACATTAGATATTGTTGGTGCAACTTTATAAACCATCTTCTCTCACCAAGCCATTAAACTGAGTTGTTTGGTGATCGCTGACAAACAGTTTATAGTATCTCTTCTCTATGTTCCTGACCACTATTTTTCATAGGCAAAGTTTCAAGATTTTATATTTTCCCCAGGCTACTTGGAGAAATAGAAAAGTAAACAAAGTCAGTTTAAAAATATTGACTTCCTTCCCTAGTTTACAATTTATACCTTTTAGATATCTACAAACAGCCTTATGCAAAGTTTTGTCTCATACAGAGGGTTGGCTCATTCAGTGATTTTTCTGGCCTAATTTCACATAATTTTCATCCCCTCTGAGGAGATGAAGCCTCTCTCTTTAAGCAATTGTCATCTGGCAACACCCAGACTCATTGCTGCTAAAAAATGAGTAGGCACAGAATTAAATATATAATAAGCAGATGTTCTTGTAAGAGGAACATTTTCCTTTCAGTGCCCACAACCAGCACTAATAGGAGCTACAAACAGAGAGTGAAAGAGGATGACTGATCTGTGGTGTCTGCAGAAAATGGACAAATAGTGTACTGAATGTAGTTGACTGGCAGCTGTATAATCAAGGGGCCATTGAAAATGTTTTTAAGTCTTCTCAGCAAACCCTTCATTCTGATTTTGCAGATGATTATGTTGGCTGAAAAGGGTTTTGCCTATTGCTATGTGGCTAAGAACCCCAACTGACTGTGGGAAGGAAGAAGCTCCTGAAAATGGAAGCCTTCAGTCTACTAAAAGCTAATGGGCAGAGTTAGGTTCTTACTCTTCTTAAAGCACAGACAATTCTTTTTAATCTTTTAAACTCAATGTTACATTTTACATAATATTTTAATATGTATTTATTATTGTTAGTTGTTTTGAATGTAAATTTTGGCAGGGAGGCACGAGAGAAATTAATTAAATAAAATTGTACAAGAAAAGGGCCTTGGCTAGATTCATAGGAGAGTTGTTTGATTTACTCTGTTTTCTAAGTCTTTGTAAGAATGTCATACTGGCTTGACTTATGCCTGCACAAGTATTAGTATTTTTCTATTCCTATGATTATTTTTCTATTCCTAAAAACACCATGCTTCCAGGAAGACAGACCAGAAGGTGAATTTATTTATGGGAAAAGTGATGGCTGACTGAGAATACATTTTTAAGACTGGTTCTCAGTATGCAAAAATGGGATTCTGTCACACCATTCTCAAAGTCATAGAAAGTCACTTTCTATAGATTATCATTCAAATTATAATTTCTCACATTACATGTTGCATTATTCTTTCAAATAGTTGTTGTTGTAAACCCAATTGGTATTACATGTGAAAATGTTTCTTATTGCTCCAGTTTTACAAGGAAGAAAGGCTTACTGAAGTAACTTTGTCTAACTTCCAGATAGCATATTCAGGCTTACTAATGCTTATCAGTATTCACTGAATTGCTTTCCATCCAATTAGAATATCATAGAATTGCCACTACTTTTAACAAATTCCTCCACAAAGCATCATTATATATTGTCACTTCTGCATCATTAACAGAAACATCAATCGTAACATGCTGCAAGCGTTTCATACCAATGAGTTTGATATTATTGTCCTCATCAAGCAAAAGATTTTCTATCTTCAGATCTCTGAAATATACAAAACATTTTAAATGAGCATTCAAATTATCAAGTTTTTCCTATCTTCCAAGTTTCCTTAACCACTCTCATTTCTTTAACCACTGTCAATATGATCTATGTTTTATGCTAAAAAATGGAGCTGGAGTAAGCAATACCCTTGGCAATATTCTCATAAAACAAATAGAATAAATAGGTCAAAGAGGAGAGTGCTAATTTATTTTGAAATGCATACAACCCAGTTGTTGTATGATACGAGACTTTGAGCAATTCCACTGCAAGACTGGCTAACATGGTCCAGACTAGTGTTAATTCTGCAGTAAAAACTGTGGTATCAGTTTTGTAATGATTATAGTAAGCTAGTCCCCATTAAACACACACACAAACCCTTTTATCTAATTAACCCCAATTTTTATACAGAAAAAACAGCTGCAGTGCTTAATCACTTTTTAAACACAAATCAGTTACGAATTCAAATAATAATTAGTGGGTTTAATCTTTGACTTGAAAAAGAAAAGCAGGTGAAATAAGGTGGAAATCCATGATGACGTCATGATGTTAGTGAAGCGGGGTGGGGGGTGGGGAATGGCTCATGGAGTTCAAAGCACAGTTCAGAATATTTGTAACCTTGTAAAGTGTAAGTGGATTCCTAAGGCACTTTCTCTATGGGAGAAAAGACAGCTTTGCATTTCAAAGGAAGTAATTCTCAGCATGGCAGATTTCTGACATGAATACTGCAGCAGCAGACTACATATACTTAAAATCAGTAGGATGAATCAAGCAATACATGCCAGGAAACTAAATCTAGAAGCCCAAAATAACTGAACTAGGGGCTGCTACGTGAACACTCCCATAGGTTTTTGTTATTGTTTTATTAGCAATGCCATGCCCCTTGTAATGTCCAAAATGCTGTACAATCTCTTTTCCCGTAATCCTCGTAACAGCCCAACTAAGGACCTATCAAAGATGGAGCACAGGACCGCAACCTTATGCTACTGACACCCCTTAAGATTCTTCCTAAATAGCATCCTATATTTGTTCCATAGAAATGAATCGGGATGAAACATGTAGCTGCAGTAGTTTGGTTTGGGGCAGAAGAAATTGTGCTTTCTCCAAGGATTTCCATAAAGATCGTGGCAACACCTGGAATTCTTCTACATGTACTCTGATACCATGAAGGGTAAAAGAGAATGGAACTGAATGTCTGTGCTTATGACATCCATATGATAGAGTCCATGAACTATTTTGCTTGTCCTTGCAAAAGCAATTAATTAATCTTACTTTGAAATAATATTAATGTGTTTTCAGTGTGGGTAGATATGCAGTGAATATGTTATGAAAACCATCTTTTTGGGATCAACTTCATTTTATTGTTCCTGGAGAGATTCACTACACCATATTCTGGCAATGTTCTATCCAGGGGAACATGAAACTTGTACTCATTCAGATTTCGTTGGACTGCAACACCCATGATCCCTTGATATTAGCTATGCCTATTCCTCATGGGAGATACAGGTGCCAAAATTAGCCCACCCTGGGCTAAAAGATGCTATACTCTCTTTATGAGAATAGTGTAGCATCTACCACACATGTCTTCCTGTGGTTACATTCCATGCTGCTATCAGTGTCTGTTGGAGAAAACATGGGCTGTGTGAGCATGCTAAAAATACTGATTGGTACAGTACCTTGCAAAAGTATTCAACCTCTTTTGACTTTTCAAAGGGGGTGGGGAAGTAAATACCTCTGCAAACCTCCAGATGAGATATAGGGAAGTCAGACAGGCAGACATGCCCCAAGAAGTCTTGGCAACAGACAAGGAGGGGGAGCTGTTATCAAGGCACCAAGGGTGTGGAAACTGGCAAGAATAGCAGAGACAGAGAGCAGGAGACCCTGCAGTCATTTAATCTTTTGGAGGACAGACCAGCTGGGCCCTCTGAACCCATAGGAAGGCGGGATCTTGGGAATACGTCATCCCAAAGTCAGGGGGCAGTTGGAAAGGAGTGGGCAATGCAGGTTCTTATGGTACTCAGAAAGACTTGCAGCCAGGCACGTAACCCTGTGGCAAGATGCACCTTGAGGGAAGGTCTTGGTCATCTGCTCAGCTTGAGAAGAGCGAACTTTAGAAGACCATGTCAGTTTTGTGACAACTCCCTTTCTTGGTGTTCCAACTCAGGGACTCAGCAGAAGCTTATGAGGTACTGTGTTATACAAAGCCTGTCTGGAACTATTGTCTTGTTTGGATGTAATGTAAATGGATAGTGTCTGAAGCCTGGGGCAACAGTTGTTTGTTTGTAGTTTGCCTAATAAATATAATTGACTGGAAATGGATTTGATAGCTTGACAGAAACCAAGGTTGAGAGATAGTGGGTAGTCCAATGCCACTCAGTGATTTCATGGCTTAGAAGCACGCAAATTTGGTTTCTCATATCTAAATACAATTATACTGGCAAAATCTAGAAATAGCATCCCACCACATATTCTCACATCTCCCAAAATGTTGCTATGTAAAATAATAATAAAATTCAAGGATGTGGTATGTGTCTAGTTCCACAATGAAAGGAACAGTGGGAGAAAACAGATACACAGGAAGTTGTCTTTGCTGCTGGCACATTATTGAATTCTTTACTTTGATATTCTGACAGTAATTGCACTGAATAGGATTGAATTTGGATAAAATTACTTTAAAAGGGTTGTTCAGAGTTTCCTGCGGGATGCTATTGCAAGCCCCAAGGCTTTCGGCTCCATTGTCTTTCTTGTCTTTACTCCCTTAGGAGGCTTAATATTCATCCTGTTTTTGACAGCATGAAGGCCTGTGTAAATACCTTCCAAAAGGAGAATGCTTCACAATATACTGCCAGTTGAAATGCTCTTCTTTCGCCACAGAAAGAGGCAACAATTGCTATCTAGCATAGATTTGGGATTGCTCCTTCTTGCTGCTTTAACAGCTAATGTTCTGTTGTAATGTACAGAACTTAGCTCACAAGGCTAAGGAGGTTTTGCTACCAGTTAATTACCAGCAATGGGATCTTTTATTGATAATTGCAGCATGGAGGGGGTGATTTTTGTTAGGCTTGGAGCTAGCAAGGGAAGGTGTGGTCAAGACAGGAACTGTGCTTTTCCACACACCCCAAGGACTACCATGTTAGACTCTTCTTGTGTGGTTGCAAGCCATGCTGTTAGCGTGCTGTGTAGGAAGAAGACAGACTGCAAATCACTGATTTGGAGGATTCCTTCTGTTTGAGCTTATAATACCATACATTTTCCTGAGAAAGAAATGCTTTCGCTCCTTAATTCAGAATCAGGAAAGCTTCTGATTCTTACCATTTGCTAGTATAATCAACATAATTCAAGTTGGTTATGAAATGAAACGTCCCCTCCTCTCACTCTAATTAGTTACCAGGTTTAACACACAGGGACAAATCATTGATGATTGTACTTGCTGAATAACAGTGCTGACAAGCTTGATCCTGTAGCTGTTAGAAGGCTACATTCCAGCCAAGCACCTACAGTCACCTTCGAACAAGCTTAGGGCTCATAGAAATAAGCTGTAAGAGTACAGTAGCCAGAAATTCTAGCCTACATTAGACTTCCAACTATCCTGCTTTGTTTATCATGAAGTGAGAATATGAACACCTAAAAGATCACAGAGGAGGTGTGAGTACTGTTATTTTTAGAATAGAGTTAAAAATAACTTTATTGCCAACAGTACTTAAGGCAAGAATGAAGTTTGCTTTTCTAAAACATGAATCCAGCACTCCTTCTTTAGGGCCCTCTTCTAATTTAAAAGGATAGCAAACAAGAATTGATGGATGAGAGTGACTTAGTCAGGTTTCAGAACTGTTGACATGGGCAGGCCCATACTAAAATGGTCACAAAAGTGTACAAAACAGTACTTAACAACCCCAAGGTAAGTAATGATAGGACCACAACTCTTGTTTCCAGAAAGGGATGGAACTGGCATATAAACTATTTCCGCAACACATCATTTATTCATACATCCACGTCCCAAATGTTGGCATTCCTGCACAAGCCATACTTACTTAAGGAAAGAAGTAATTAACTAGATACTCAGGACTGCATAGCTATATGAGTGGACATGAACAGAGATATTTATACTAGGTGCAGGACCACTTTACGTATAGCAATTGTGTTTGCTGCACTAAGTGCTGTAGGAACAGGAGAAAGGATGTGCTCCTGGACACCCTTGAGGATATCTACTGAGGAAGTATAAATGACCATGGCATTCTGGCACATGCCCATAAAAGTTTAGAGACTAGCATCTTCCCTTCACACTTTACGGAGTTTGGCATTTCAGGCAATTGAAATGAAATTGTGGTAGTAAAGCAGAGTGGCAGAGTGAGCTCCAAGAGCTTTACTCCACTTCCATATTATCTAGCCAGTGAGAAAGGAATTTCTACTGTCATCTGAATTAGCCTTTTTGACCTTTCTATGAGATATGAAACAGCCACAGGATGACTTTACCTGTGAACCACCCCGGCACGATGTAGGTGCTCAACCGCTAGAATAAGCTGGCGGATATATTTGCGTGCTTCGTGCTCCTCTAATCTCTTTTTCTCATAGATTTTGTGCATTAAGTTCCCTCCTGGGCATAGCTCCATGACAAGGTAGTAGCTGTTTTCAGTTTCCAAGATATCCAGCAGCTGAGCAATGTTAGGGTGTCGGATCATTTGCTGGATCTGGCCCTCACGCCTCAGGTTCTTGGTGACATAGGTGTCCTTTTTGGCTCTTTTCTTATCAATAACTTTCACAGCCACCTGATAAGAAATGGAGATATAAGAGTGTTATTGTACGTTTACATTTTTTAAGTCAGTGAGGTGATGTTTGTTTATTGTAAGACATTTTCTTACTTCACAATCAAACAATACAGGGAAAAGATGCACTAGACCAGTTTATCTATCAGCAGTACAATGACTATGCTTATTTCCCCTTCTACAAACATAAAAAGGGAGAACTAAATTATATGGAAGGAATTCTAATAATGCACTTTTAAATGGGTCTAGATATTCTCTCTTATGTTTCAGGAAAGGCTGCATATTTAGTGTTACAGCTTTTAGGTCTGTCTTCATATATATGCAATATTTATTCCTCTGCTACTTGTTCTTTGCTTTGTATTTTATCCTTTGAGGTATCCTTTCATGCACAACATCTAGGGTCTTCCTCCAGGTGCCAACTTCAAGAGAGGCTCAGACAGCAGCAGAAAGGAGGAGGGCTTTCTCCGGGATAACTTCCCATCCATGGAATGACTTCCCCACTAAGGCCCACCTGGCACTAATCTTGTCATCTTTGCAGGGACAGGTTAAGATGGTCCTTTATGCAAAGACTTTTAAGGAAATGCATGGATAGCCAAATGCTTGAGGGGATTACCCATCCCAGCTGTTTTTCTTTAACAGGGTTATTCTTCACTGTATGTAGGTAGCTGTTTTTACATTTCATTTAAGAAGATTTTATGGCATGTTTATTGTATTGTTTTTATGTAATGTTGTAAACCATCCAGAGAACTTTGTCTACTGAGCAATATGAAAAAAATGTTCAAATAATAGATTTCACAGATTTATATTGTATCCTATTGTTTCAGTTGTAGTGATACATCCAGAGAACTTTTTATTGGGCTGATTGAAAATAAATGAATATATAACTAAATAATGCATGGGCTCTCCATATAACACTGATTTAAGTGTGCCCTAATTGTTGTTGTTGTAATTGTTGAACATTCTAATCTGCCATTCTTGCATTTATATATTCCTTGGGGCAGTTAACAAGAATTAAGAAACATAAAATACAGTAATATTTCAAACAACAACAAAGCCAGATGCTTAAAACAGAAACATCAGATTTAAAAACATCTAACCAAATGAACACTTGCTTGAACAAGAGGCTTATGCCATCCAGAAAAAGAGCATTCAAGCCTCCCGAGAAAATTGTTCCACAATATAGGTTCAGGCACAGAAAAAGGCTTTTTCTCTCATCCTCAACAACAGAGGCTGCACTGTAGTTGACACACTGAGAAGGAATCTTCCATCCGATCCTAAGGCATGAGCAGGCGGGCATGAAAGCAGGCAGTCCATAAGCCATCCTGAACGTAAGCCATTTAAGGTTTTAAAAGTCCATCACCAACACTGTGACTTGTGGCTGCAAATTAACTGGTAACCAAGGTAGCCTTTGTTGGACAGTGTAATATGGGCCCATAAACAATCTAGATTCTCATTGGTGCATTCCAGATCATCTGAAGTTGTAAGGAGTCTCCCAAGGGAGCCCCATGTAGAGTGCATTGAAGTAGTCCAATCTAGAAGCAATGTGGCCAAGAATAAACTTATCAGATGCAACTGGTGTACCAGCTTAAGCTGTGGAAAGCAGCTCCTGATTACAGCCATTGCCTGAGCATGCAAATGCTAAGCACCTTTATACTGTAAACCTGTTTTTTCAGGAGAAGCCCTACCTCATTCAAAACAGGCTGAATGCCTGCTCTAGAGTCTGCCTGTGTCTCTTGATCAAGAGCGCCTTCAACCTTAATTTATTAGTCATCACCCAGCTCATTGCTGCTTCTAGACAGCCATGAATACTAACAACTTCCACTCACTTGTGTCTGGAGGAACTGTGATGTTGAAACCATCCATATTAAACACTGGACTGCCAGCAAAGCCCTTAAAAACTGACAATTTATGTTACTTAGCTAGCACATTTAATGTTATGCTTTCTAATTTATACTGCACTTTTATTTGTCTGCTTGGACATTTGATGTAATCAAACATACAAGGGTATCCCATAAATACCTCCTAATTGTCTTCCATTTCTTGATTCCAATTTTTAATTACCTAGCATTTGATTTAAATACACATAGCAAAGCAGATTGCCAGTTACTGGTGTTCATGATGACAATATTTATAGGGTGAACTTCAAACCTATTATGTTAAGCTAATAATCTCTCCTCTTTCCCTCCATATTTATACTGTAGCAAAGGGTTCTGTAGCAATGGGAGTTCTGTAGCAAAGGGAATTATTTCAACTTGCAGATGAGCTCCATTAGCTCACTGCTCATTACCGCAGAGACAATGGTAAGCTTATTAGAAAGAATGGGGGAATTTGTGTTCCTTCACAGTACTGTGCTTGCAGCTTCTTGCCTAACACAGAGCAAATTGCAAAATGGGGAAGGTCCATAACTTAGTGGCAGAGCACTGGCTTTGCATGCAGAAAGTCTCAGATTCAATCTCTGCCATCTTTAGGCTGTACTGGGAAGGCCTCACACCTGAAACCCTGAAGACCCTCTGCCAGTTAGCATAGACCAAACTTGTGGCTTAATGGAGATATTTGGAATTTTGAGTGTCACAGGTGCTCTCTCTTTCATTCATGAAAGGGCTGCCATGGTGGGCATGTCTTTGCCCATTAGCCAAATTGATGAGACTATAAGAAATGTATAAGAGAAGCTAAAAATAGTAGAAGGCATGTGAAATGAGTTCTGAGTTCCAAGGTACAAAACAACTCAATTAAATTTAAATAAAGATGGTGCTGAAGCACTTCACTTTGTAGCAAGGTAGACTTTTAAAAGTTTTAATTTTAAAAAGATTAAAAAGGAAAATAAAATTCAGGTGGGGCAAAGAGTATTTTATTTATTTATTTATTTTTCGATTTATAGCCTGCCTTTTTCCTACAAAGGGCTCCAGGCAACCATTCTCCTCCTCCATCTTATCCCCACAACAACAACCCTGTGAGGTAGGTTGGGCTGAGAGTCTGTGACTGGCCCAAAGTCACCCAGTTGACTCCATGGCTGAGCGGGGACTTGAACCCAGATCGCCTGAGTCCCAGTCCCACGCTCTTAACCACTACACCACACTGGCTAGTATAACAGGAACTACAAATGCATGCTGGATATCCCGGGTGGAGACCCTATCGAACCAGATGAATCTATTGCATGAGCTTGAACTTGATGGAGTGGCTCAGAATGGAGCCCCTTTCTTTGTTTCAGGCAAGCTTTTAGAAAAAAGGATAGTTTCACCCCTGAAGCAGCAAACAAAATGAAGTGCTACTTTTTGTTTAGCCAAATACTGACATGTTCTAAGTCATCTTCTTAGGAAAGGGAAAATAGGTGTCAATTCTCTCTGTCCAGCTCATGCCCAGAAATAAGTTGCAGAGACTCTGCAATGCTTACTTCAAGGAGAAGTGTGCTTCATTAACATAAAGCACTTACAGGGTTTGGGTTAAACATAAGCCCTAGGTGTCCTTACACAAATCAGTGCTCCAGTAAAGAGTCAAGTCATCCAATCCCAAGTACACAAAGAGAAGACAGAGGGCCATTTAATCTCTTTTCCTGCAGGGTGGGCAATAGAGGATTTGGCAGAGCCCTTACAAGAGGCCAGTTCATACTTCAAAATGGGTTGTTTCAAGACTTTTCAAGCGTTCTTTAGCCCTCAGATTACCCATGACAAGCTGTGGCACCCTCCCTGCCACAGTTTGCATATCCAAAATGGCAGCCAGTGCACATCTTGGAGACTGCTGTGCTAGTTAATCCATAAGGTGTTACCATGACATACAAACCAGTTCAATACACCGTGGTTGCTAACAGCCCTGCTATGCAGGTTAAAACATAGAACATACACAAATCTGAATGGCAAACTCTTGCTTGTGCACTCATGCATTCTGATTACTGTGGGTTACTGGATGTACTGCACACCATCTGCTCATGGCAAGGGTGGGCAGAAGGTAGTTCCAAGTCTACAGATAGAGCTCTGGCTGATTTGCAAAGAATTTCCCACTCCTAGCAGTTTAAGTACAGCAACAAAATTAGTCTCTATCCCTGCCCCATATTAGACTGCTGATCCATTCTGGAACTCAAAATCCTGTGTTCAGCAGCTGTTCAGAAGCAGCATGACGTTCTATTGTGAGTGTCTTTTGCTCTTGACTCCCATTTGCTGATCCTGGGTTCCTAGCAAAACACAGAATAGATCCTGCAAGTCTAAACTTTCCCTACAGCACAGGTTTAGCCATGACATGTTTGTCTGACACTCTGGGTGAAGTACCTGAAAAACCTGCCAAGAGTTGTCTGAAGACCCCTGCTTGGTCCAATCCAGGTGATTACTACTACAGCGACACACTGCTTTGGTGCCTCTAGAGGGGATTTTATCTTTTCTATCAACCTGGAAAAATGTTCAAGAACATAGTGCATGCAGACGTCTCAGATAAGCTATTTTATGACTCAGCAGTCCTTATTGCTCCTGGAGGTTACATTCACCAAGTTCTTAGAAATGGTGTTTCTTCTAATAGCACTCCTTCGACCAAAAATATTATCCTCATTGAAACTCCACATTTTCTAACACTCCTCTTTATCAACTTATGAAGCTTCTTGAAAAGTATGATTAAATAATGAAGCCATTATAACTAGAACTGTCCTGATTTCACTGTCCCCTTCCAGAAAACATGCTTAGATGATGTGACAATAAAGATTAATTCAAACCAGAAAGTAGCTCTCAGAATCAGCCTCAGGATTAAGTAGAGAGAAAAAGAGTAGAGGAGTTACTGATGCAGAAGACTCGGTTGTGCTTGAACTTCTGGTGCTACCAGTTCCCTATGCCTGGGAATGAGTGAGTTGCCCAGGGGAGCCGAAGGACAGGGAGTGAGTTGGCTATCTGACAAGGCCTGCAGAATTGAGCAATAATGAGTTCCACTTGATAACAAAAAGGTCAAGCAATGCGCACAAAGCACCTATGTGATGGAATTGTACAGCATATTACTGCACTGACACTGTATACAAACCTAGAAGCTAC